GAAATATAAAAAACTTTTCGATCAAAAAAATAACACAAAACAAACGTGTGCCACAAAACCAAAATAAACTTAATCGTCAACGTACAGAAAGTATTCGCAATTTTTGACCATCATTTTTTTTTTCAAAATGACTCACACTAAATTAAAGGGAAGCCGTAAAGAATATTCAGGGCTGGGCGTTGCTCTGATTCCATTCTGCCGCTATTGCCTATCTGATCAAGCTTCCTTTTTATAAAATTTTTTACGCCATCAGAAATTATGTTTGTGTTCAATTTTGGAACAAAAAAGGAGCAATAGGCAGCAGTTTTGTATTAGTTGCTTTGAATTAGCTCAATTTATGTTCCAATTTTTGTAATGAAAGTAACGGAATAATTGTGCTCCGGGTGGATTTTTTCCTTTAGACAAATTTCGATTTTTTAACTAGCCATTTTTGACGGATTTTTTTTATATCATTCAAAAAGTATTGTTGTCTTGAGCTTAAATGTGAAAAGATACTTCACCTGTGATCATTTTTTGTAAAGTTTTGGGGGTTTACAGATTGCCATTTTGGCCAATTTGGGACAATTAAAGCGCGATATATTTCGCGCTATTAACGCGTAAGCGCAGATTTAACCCGTCCTAGAAGTCGTTCCAAATTGGTTAACTTTTTGCAGCAGTAAATATTCTTGCTGTTACAATGCCATGTGGACAAAATATACAGATGCATTCCAATTCTTTGTTTTTTACATCACAATAATTTTTGTTCCGACTGTCGTAACAAAACTAACGGAGTATTTAAGCTCCGGTTGTTTTTTTTTCTTCAGACAAAATTCGACTTTTAACTAGCCTTTTTTTACGGAACTTTTTAAAATATAAATCCAAAGGTATTGTTGCCCTGAGCTTGAATTTTAATTTTTTTACAAGTGATTAATTTTTTTAAACTTATGGGGTTAAATGATTGCCATGTTGGCCAATATGGGACAATTAACGTGCGATATGTTGAGATATGGTGCGATATGGTGCGTAAGCGGAGATTTAATCCGTCTTAGAAGTCGTTCCAACTTGGTTGAAGGAAGATTATTCGCCATAATTGATTTGTTACTACGAGAAAAAATTATCATTTTGTACTTTATATGGCGCGTGGGGTTATGATTTACAAAAAATAAATCTCAAATTAAAAAAAAAACTGCATTCTGCTTTTAGTACATATAATTTTTCATTTTATTACTGCTCCATAGACCTTAAAAGGCAGTCGGAACATTCAGGGCTTCACACTGGTAAGAGCAGTTTTGTTTTTGTTTAAGTAACTACTCATTTATTGATCCCTTATTGGTGTTCTATAGTGTTTGAAAAATAGAACATATTGAACCGCGAAAATGAATTTCAGCTTAGACGTTTAGTTTGTCGTAATTTTGAGAGCATTCATCCTCACTAACTAGGCTGATTTTACTGCGACCTAAAAACAGAAAGAACCAGTTAAAGATTCTTAGAATTTTTTGGATTTACTATAGCTAATCAGAGGTTAACTTGGAAAGTAGGGTACGTTTATGAAGGGATGGAATATCTCTAAAGTGAAAACTATTTGAAAAATGAACAAAGTGACAGTTGATGCCAATGTTTAGTCTACAAATTAGCCTAAATCTACTTCCAAGTAAAAAATCATTAGAATTAGAGAAATTTGTTCCTAGTAAACCAAACTTTCCCAGCAATTTTCCATGGAAAGAACACTTGAGCCAAACTCAATGCGAGTGATTTCAAAAAATCAATAAGAAAGTGAACCCAATTTACATAAAAATCTAATATTTGAAAAATTGAAATCATTCCATAGAACAATATGACTCCGTAAAGGGTCCCCTTTTACAGAGTCATATTATTCCATAGAATAATTTCAATTTTTAAAAATTAGGTTTTTTATAAAAAGAGTCTACTTTTTCATTGATTGTTTGAATTCACTCGCATTGAGTTTGGCTCAATTGTCCTTTCTATAAAAATTTTTGTGGAAATTAGGCTAATTAAGAAGAAATTTCTGTTTTATTGTATTTGATATTTCCTTGGTAGTAGATTTAAGCTACTTGACTAGTCTTACAACCTAATTTTATCTACACACAAATACTATGACACTATTTTAGGACATTGCAGGACACAATCAACAAACTTTTCGTATGTCCGTGACGACTAAAAACATCCAATAACACGGTGAAATTCCATTTGTACCACGTTTTATTGGATCAAGTTAACATCCTCTAAACGACTTGGGATGATGGTAACTTGATCGGGTTCATTTGTATCAAAATGAAAATCGTTTGCATCTGTAATCAAATTTTTCAATACGATTGTGATTGTTCAGTTCTGGAGCTAACAAACGGTTTAACTAATTGCCTATTGTTCAAACAAAATAAAAAAGCAAACAACCTTAAACAGCCAAATAGTGACCAGCACAGTTGCGCCAACGTGTGGCGAGCTTGCCAACAAAGGGTAGGATTATATACAGAGCGCACCCACCGGCGAACTTAAACCGAGGTAGTCGGCTTGGTAGTCTTGGACCAATTCATTATTTTGGTACAACAAAAGCGACCAATTTATCATAAAAACGGGACTGATTTTTAGTATTTGTGAGAACTCATCAAAAAAATTTAGAAACAGTTGAACGTGCTCGAATACTCGCGTAGAGTAAATTTGGGTACTGCGATAGATTTAAAGTTTTCACAATATTTTGATATGGCTAAATCTACTGTCTTAAAATTTTAGCAGTATTATAGATAAATTAGGAAGATTCACTAGAATAATGATTGCCAAGAACGACAATGTGTTTCAAATTACAAAAAATCTTCGACTATCGAGATTACTTATTTTCAAAATAAATTCGTAAGACAATTTCATTAACAGATTTAGTTACTTTAGGTTAGCAAATAAATGTCCTATTTCAGAGAGCAGTTTTATGCTCTGGCTTTCAAAGAAGGTAACAGAAAGATTGTGCTCTTTGTGGTTCCATCAGATAAATTTCAATTTTCAACTACACGTTTTTCAGTGTTTTTAAACACCTTTTTAGAATCTCGCAGCCCTGAGCTCAAAGTTAAAAAATATTCCGACTTCAACTAATGCGCGATTTATTTAGTCCTATTGAAGCGTAAGTGGCGAAATAAATCTTTTCAAATTGAATGGTGGATAGCAATTTGTTTCGATATGTTATCTTACAAGAAGCAAAAGATTTTTTCTTTACGAGACGCAGAATATAAGGCTTAGTACTATATACATATAATGTAGCGAAACAAAACGAAAATGAAAGTATTAATAATTTTTTGTAAAGTTTTTCTTCGTAATATTTCCTGAATTTTCTCAAATTTTCTCCAAGGTTGTTCATTTACATTAAAAGGGAGCCAAAACACGCATGGCCTCACCGTGATACGAGCAATCGGGTTTGTCTATTTTGATGCCAAAAGCAATATCAGTAGTGTTTTTGTTCCGACTTTCGATACGAAAGTAACGGAATATTTGTGCTCGGGGTGCGTTTTTTTTTCAGAAAAATTTCGACTTTTAACTAGCCGTTTTTGATAAAAATTTTTTATATCATTCGAAAGCTATTGTTGTCCTGAGCTTAAATTTAAAAAGATATTTCACCTGTGATCTTTTTTCGTAAAGTTATGAGGGTTTAAAGATTGCCATTTTTGGCCATTTTGACAAATTTGGGACAATTAACGCGCGATATAATTCGCGCCATTAACGCGTAAGCGGAGATTTAATTCGTCTTAGAAATCGTTCCAAATTGGTTAAAAGAAGCCTATTGGCTATAATTGATTTGTTACAATGAGCGAAATCTGTTATTTTGTACTTTATATCTTTATATGGCGTGTGAGGGATGATTTTCATCGAAAAATTTTCAAATTTTATAAAAAAATGTTTTTCATTTATTTTATTTCATTTAATTTTTTTATGTTGTTTATGTTAATACTGCTCCATAAACGGTAAAAGGCAGTCAGAACTTTCACATTTCGCCCTGATACGAGAAGTCTTGTTGTTTTTGAAATGTACTGACCCGGTGTGTTCAATTTATTAAGATATATATTTCAATTGTTTAATTGTTTGTAAGAAAATGAATATTTGAAAAATGCCAAATTGTTTTTTTGCGAGAATTACGCGCGAAAGCTTTTGTTCTAATAACGCGTGAGCGGCGATTTGAAAAAGCTCAGAATTCCTTCCAAATTGATTTGCGGCGAGCTTTTTTGAATTTTCAAAATGTTGCTGGAAACTAACAAAACTGCTCGAATATCAGAGCTAAGTCCTGAATGTTTCAACTGCACTATAGGACCAATTGAAAAGTTTTTGTTGAAAAATGATAAAACAATAGCAATATATTGCGTGTTAATTATCTCCCAAAAAGTTTAGTTTGCAATTTTTGAACTCCCAAAATATAACAAAAAAAATTTACAGGTGAATTTTATCAATTGAGCACAGGACATGATTATCATTTATAGATTCATGTTATAGAAAAATTTCGTCAAAACCTCTTAGATGAAAATTCGAAAAATGGCTGAATAAAAATTACCGAAGCTAAATTTCCGTCACCTTCTTGAAAAGCCGGATCAATTACATTACATTGTACTTAACATTGCATGGGGGATGTTTTCGAAAGAAATCTGAAAAAAAAAGTATTTTTTTTTGGAATTTCATCATTTCTTATTCATATATCTATATATTTTAAAAATGTTGATTCCTTTGACCTTAAATTTCACTCGAAGCAATTTTCCTGATATAAGCAGTCTTGTCTTGTTTTTCTAGTGAGTTGCTTGAACTAAACCTACCACATTTCTAAAGGAGTACCTAACTTTGGACCGAAAGCCTTTTTAGGGGTTAGGCTGTATTTGCAGCTAGATTTGCAGCCAATCAGAACCAAGTATGTTGCAACCAGTGCCAAGCAACTTTAGGGCAAGCTAAGTAGCCACGCGGAGGATCTTTACTTGATCTATTTAAGGGTGGTGGTTAAATTAATATATTCGGTCCTAAAAATGAGAGAAGCTTCTCACCTGTTTTACATTATTGACGCAGCATCCTGTGAGTGTCTCGATTCTGTACTGAATAAATCTGATGAGATTTCCGAATAGAGACAGTCCCACAATCATGTAGACCCAAGTGCCGATATTCAGCAGCACCTGGTACCAGGCACCCGTAATTAATAATTGGATTATCAAAGAACTGATTGTTTCAATAATCTTTGTGGTGATTCGGGGCGATTCGCACGAGGTAGGTTGACCTTTCAGTCGTGATTCGGATTCGAAAATTTTATTATTATTATTATTATTATGATTATGATTATGATTATTATTATTATTATTATTGTTATGATTATTATTATTATTATTATTATTATTATTATTATTATTATTATTATTATTATTATTATTATTATTATTATTATTATTATTATTATTATTATTATTATTATTATTATTATTATTATTATTATTACTATTATTATTATTAGAGTCACGAAGAAGACCCAAGAAGAAGAAGAAAAAATAGACAATAAAAAATGAATGAAAAAAAAAACCATAGTCTTAGTTTATTTTTTTCGCATTTTTCACAGCAGACACTACGATTACAGTCGGATATAGAATTTTATCGATAAGGTAAATGAGTAGGGGGGGGGGGGGGGGGGGTGGATTAAGAAAAACCTTTTTTTAAACACCTTTTTTTTATGTCGACAAATTGATTTTTTGGGCTCTCCTAGAACACTGTGGCTCTTTTCCAGTCACCTTTAGTTTTTGTAAACTGAAACTCGATGGTACTAAGTCTTATTCAAATTGAATTTTGATCTTCTTATCTGCATGAAACCAAACTTTTTAGGTTCGCTCAGTCAAAATAGTACCAAAGGGGGGTGCTTTTGGGTGCTCAGGTGGTCGAGTTCCTGAATTCCCCTTAAGTCTGCTACTGACTGTAATTGTAAATTCTTTGCTACTAGCCCAGCACTGGGTGTTTTCCGTATTATTTGCTATTATCGGGGTGGGTTCAATTAATTTGTGATAACTAAGGATGAATGGAAGGGGGTGTGTGTGGGTGTGTCTGTGAGTGAGAGGAGTGCCTGGTGTAATGTGCCGTGGGCATTTGTGACGGGGTCAAGTGGGTTCAGGTCTCCGTATCCGACAGTAGTGAGAGTGGCCACTAGAAAGTACACAGCAGACAGAGTATTCATCTTCTCCTGTAGTGTCAAAATCAACACTGGCAATATGAAGATGAACGACTGCAAAGACACTATGCAGCAGATGTAGTAGATGGTCCCTGCAATTTGAAAAAAAAAATTTGGTTCCAAATCAGATTTGTTACGTCTCCGCCTCCCAATCGAATGGTCGAATGTTCGAGGCCATCACTATGAATCGTGCTCTTTGCTTGAGGGCGAGGCAACATTGCCCTGCCCAGGAAAATAGCCAAAAAGATTGCATGTAGATCTGGAGAAGAATCAGCTTTTTTTGAATCACATTCTACCCGGGCTGACCACCAGACACCGGAAATACTATTCAAAACAATTTGTCGATAAAAATACTAATCATACAATTCACATACGAAGGCCCATAATCATATAAGAACATATGAGAATTGTATGACTAGCATTTTTGATGTACGGAGGTCAATCTTGGTTAAATGGGATTTGAAAAGAAGTGTATGTTCCCATCACAGCAAGAGCAGAAAAAAAAACAGAAGGACAGAATATGAATCATGGACGTGAAAAAAAAACATTTATATAATTTTAATCGCATGTATCCAGCCAAAACAAACAAAATTGAAACGCCTTTAGGCTTTTATCTGAAAAACAATGAAAATTACCCAACGAGTTATGAACACAAATTTGCTAGATAATACAAATAAAATGGCCTAAGCCATTTTGCAAAAAACATGTAGGCATTTTCCGCCCGAAATATGGGGTAATTCTGAGATAAGTTTGATCCATTAATTGAAAAATTTCGGCTGGCAAAATTTGCAAAAAATTCTTACTCAACCTGTATCAAAATTAGATTCACAGCTAGCTTGATCGCATTTTCTTTAAGCAGCCCGCAATGGAGTTTCATGGATAAAAATAAATTATGTTGTCATTTCATAGTCAGTATCCATAAAGTTACAAAAGTAATCGAATAGAATCCATTAAAAATGGATTATAATCCTAATTTTAAATCAATAAAATCCATTAAAATTAATTACAATCGATTATAATCCTTTAAGAATGGATTATAATCATAAAATTTTTATATCCATATAATCCATTATAATTGATTATAATTGATTATAATGGATTTTTTGAGAAATTATTGGTGAATTTTGCAAGTTTCGCACCTTGTCTTTTTTCCTGTTTAGTGTAGTTGCTACGGATTACGTTTCATAAACTAAAATTTTTCACATTAAATTTTTATGCTTTTAAAATTTTCTACTTTTTCTATTTAGCAATTTGAAGTTTGGGTTTGAAGTTTGTTCAACGTTGATTTTTTAACAATTTGGTGTCATTTTGAAGTGATTGTCGACTTTCATTGGTTTTTGTGGCCTAAAAAAATTGATTATGCTGTCAAAATATCCGATTATAATAGATTTTTGAATAATCAAAATAATCGATTATAATCCGCTAAAAATCCATTTTCATGGTTAGATGGGTCATGAAAATTGATTATATGGACTAAGTTTATAGCCAATATGATTCGTGATAATCGATTATTTCCCATGAAACTCCAGTGCGAAAAGAGTTATTTTAGAGCATTAAATGGAAAAGTTTTGATTTAAGCAAATCTGATAATTTCGCGGAATTCAATTCTTCAATGCCTTTTTGAGCGTCTCAAGCCTGTGTAAGACTCTCGTGTTGATATAATTAGCCAAAAAAGAATAAGTAAACTTTGTTTAAACACTTGAGTAAGCAAGATGCACTTGTTTAGGGCACAATTATCAAGTCAAAATGAAAAAGAGTACTATTCGTTTATAGAGTACAATTCCTGAAATAGAGTATCATTTATTAGTCTAAGCAGCAAAGCGTTGTATCAGTGAATTTAAAACAAGTGAAACAGATCAGTAAAACAAAAATGCATAGTAATTGCAGGGTTAATTTATATCATCATATTTGTACTATATAGGACATAACTTTTTACAGAAAAATTGACATAAATTAAATATTTAGTTTCGACTTTTAAAGAAAGTGACGGAATCATTGTGTTCGGGCTGTTTTATTTTCTCCAGAAAAGTTTCGACTGTTTTTAATCAGCAATTTTGGACGGAATATTTAAAACATCATTAGAGAGATACTGCTGGTCTAAATTCAAATTAAAAAAGTATTTTACCCGTGATCATTTTTTTGCAAAGCTATGGGGGTTTAAAGATCGCTAATTTGGCCAACTTGGGACAATTAACACAAATTGGAGTGAGGCATTTAATTTGCTCTGTTTAATACTTTACTATTTGCAAAATACATCATTTTGTTTTTTACATAGCGTATGGGAGATAATTTTCAAAAAAATTATCAAAAATTTTTTTTGAATTTTTTCAGTTTTTTTCTAAAAAATTTCGTCAAATATTTAATTTTAAATCACTCCATAAAAATTTAAACGCAGCCGAAACATTCAAGGCTTTGCCCGGAGACGAAAAAACAAATCTTAGACCAAGAGTTTTTGAACAAGCAACGGAAGCAGTTTTTTTGCACTTCACTTGACTGCTCTAGTAATTAATTTGTTATGAGGCTTGTGATTTCGCTGGAACTTAAAAAAAGACTGTTTATGATTGAAAAATTGAAAAATCCGTTTTTTTGAATCAGAGTTTTTTTCATTTTTGAGTAGACTTTGAGGCCCTTTATAAGCAAATGGAAATCAAAGACTCAAAGACTCAAACTGAAAAATAAAATAACTGAAATTATCTATATTATAGATAACGGTTACATCTATTTTTATCCTAATCTTTCCACTGACTTTTAAACCTGTTTACACCAAAAACGTAACCCAAATTTTTACGTCATATTTTAGACGCTATTTTTTCAGCATCAATCAGTGTTGGTCTAAACCTATTTGGGAGGTAATTACGAATCAATACTCATCAAAGCCGGAAACGTGAATGTGGGTTCAATTAACCATGTAGAAAGTTGACCAAGTGTCAATGAACTCAAGGATAGTAGAAAAAAAACTGATTTTTTTGATTTTTTTAAAAAAACATTCTAAATCTCAAACTTTGAAGAAATAGTTACATCACGTTAAAGCTCTTTCAGTTTCAAAAATATATTGTGACTGACAGCGGCTCCGCCATCATCCCCGTGAAATTAAGTCAATTGAAGAGAAATGGGTCGAAAGGTCATTTTTTAGTACGCTGGGAATCTAAAAATTGAAATCCTTTGCCAAATCCTATCCGATTCTTAAAATATTCACGTTTTTTTAGCTTCCAGTACACGGTAATAGAAATAGAAAACCAAATTTCAAAAATACATTTTCACAACTTACAAATTGACGATTGGCACTTTTGTGATAAAATTGTCTCCATTTGAGAACACTGGTTCAATAGGTAAAGCTTTTAATCCTTTCGAAAAATGCAAAAAAAAATCACCACGACCTATATAAGAGTCTGCATTTACGCGATGAAATATATTTGAATATCAATTTTTTCCGCTTTGTAAAAAATATTTCGTCATAAAAATTTCATTTTAAATGTCAAGCGATGTCTTGTGAAAAAGTCAGACCAAGCACAAACATTATCACTTTTTTTGTAAGTGAGAGCAATAACAGTCAAGCCAGTGTAAAAAGTATTTATTGTTCCCAAGAAGAACTCACCATTTGTTTTAATTGAGCTGTATGGCCAATGTAACGTCTTCCTCCCCTTCAAGCGGTTCAGCATGGAGAACTTTACACGCAATTCTAACTAATTTTGATTCAAATTGAACAGTCAAGTGGGAGCAATGAGTGGAAGTTCATAACTTGGGCTATTTTAGGGGGGAGGATGTTAACTTGGGATGTTTAAGGGTGGGGGGGGGGGGGGGGGGGTTGGCGGGGTATGTTAATTTGATGCGAACTGAAGAGTAATGGGGACTAACTTCTGATTCTGGACTTGCTGACATTGACCTTGCAGCGGACTTTGAGGAACATGTAGCTGAAGAGTCGGCAACACTGACTGCAAAGGAAGAAAAAGAGGGGGATGCCTAGTAGGCAGTAGAACACTGTCAGCACCCTCCCCCCATCCGTCTCAGGGGCAAAGTTGCCGTACCCTAAGCATAATGAAGCAGTTTGGGTGATGTTAACTTTGGTTCTAACTTGGAGTTTTTAGCCAATTAGAATCAGATAATTTACATGCAGCGCATTGCGAATTTATTCCGATTTAAATAGATGTGTATTTCAATAAATATAAAAATCAAGTCATCAAATATTTTCATTTAGAGAAAAAATCGGAAAGTGAAATTTCGATGATTGAGCTACGGCGGGCTTACAAAAATACATACCTATTACCAGGGGGCGGATCTAGGATTTTCTCGAGGGGGGGGGGGGGGGCGGATTTTTTTCGAAAATTTTGTCGACCTTTTCTTTTTTAGGTCGACCGAATTGATTTTTTGAGCTCTCCCTAAGCATGGTTTAGTACCTGTTTAGGGCCAAATTTTCTGCGCCGCAGGCAAAATTTTGAAAAAACAGTCCAAACAAGGCGTTTTTAGGCACTGTTTGGAAAGTTTTGACCAAAAAATCGCGTTTTTTCGGAGCGCGCTCCCCCTCAAAATTAGTATATATTAGCGCCGAAGGCGTCTTTAGAAAAATTTTAGGGTCCGTCACAAAAATGGATATCTCAAAATAGTACAAAGGGGGGACCCTTTGGTTCGGCAGGGGGTCGATTCCCTGAGGAGGGCGTCCGCCCCCCCCCCCCTAAATCCGCCCCTGCCTATTACAATAAATCGGAAAACATTTAACTTTGCTTAATCTTACAAAATAGGTGCCAGTTATAAAATTTTACGTAGTCTTTTTTTTGTATATTCTAATCACAGCAGAGCCAAAAAATAAGGACAGAATATAAATAAAGACAGAAATAAGGACAGAATTCTAACCACAGCAGAGCCAAAAAAAATAAGAACATAATATAAATCATGGATATGAACAAAAATATATATGCAATGTTAATCGCATGTATCTAGCAAACACAAACAAAACTGAAACTTATTTAGGTTCTTATCTGAAAAATAGTTATTATTGCCCAACGAATTATGAACACAATCTTTCTAAATATCAAAAACAAAATAACTTGAGCCATTTTGCTAAAAACATACGAACTTTTTTTGCCTACAATATGGTAATTCTTATTTATATTTCCAATAATTCTGAAATAAATTCAAACCAATATTTGAAAAGTTACGGCTGGCGTAATTTGCAAAAACTTCTGGACCAATCTGTATCGAAACTAGATTCACAGCTAGCCTGATTGATTTCAGTTTGCTTAAGCAAAGTATAAAAAATTGAAAAAATTTATTTATTGGTGCGTTAATAGCAAACGTTTTGGTTTGAACAAATTTGATAAGTTTTTGCGGACTTCAGTTCTTCAAAACCTTTTTGAACTTCGCAAGCCTGTGTAACACTCTCGTGTTGAAATCACTAGCCAAAAAAGATAAAGTTATCTTTGCTTAGTGTTTAAATAAGAAAATTGAGTCTTCAAGGGGCACATTTCTAGGGAATAATTTTAAACACAAAATGAAATAGGGTACCTCAATTATTAGTCTAAGCAGCAAAGCGATGTACCAATGGAATTGAAACAAGTGAAAAATATCAGTAAACCGAGCATGCGTAGTAATTGCAGCGTTCATTTACATCAACAGATGTAATGAAACATCAGATTTGTGCAAAAAAATCAATTGGTAATTTATCCTATTCTGCTTGAAGATCAGAAAATGGAAGTCCATGTTTGCAATGGGCTTTTTCTTATTTATTGACAATTAGCATTATTGACAAAAGTTTTTATATTTCATTCAAAGTTTTTGTTGTCTTGAGCTCAAATTTGAAACATAGCCAACTGGCAGTTGGAAAAGAACAATGAAAGCAAGAAAATTAAAAAATATATATGTTTTTTCCAAAAATCTTAAGCTTTTGAATTTCCAAAAAAAGTGAATGGCCTTAAGGCTCTTTGAATTTGTAGAACAATTTATGTTGGGCAGTTTTCTGTTTAAATTAACCCATTTTGAGAAGACTTGATCAAAAGGTAAAACGTTTGTTTCGCTTTTATTAATTTCCATTTTCGAAATTAGAAGTCAATCACGTTTTTTGTGGTCTTTAAATTTTTGCTGTTCATAAGTGGGGTTTGCCTTCTGTTTAACAAATAAAATGCACTGAAGTTAAAAAGAAATCACAAGTCAAACCGCGAAAAATCAAAATTGAGCGTGAACAAATGTTAAGACTTTTTCCTGAAAAAAAAACAAAAAAAAATCAGCAAGACCTATATAAGAGTGCTCACCACGTTCATTACTTTTAAAAAAATTTTCATCTGTGATCTTTTTTTCGTAAAGTTATGGGGGTTTCAAGATCGCCCAATTGGGGACAAGTAACGCTCGTTTTAATCGTCTTAGAAATCATTCCAACTTGGGTTGAGGCATGCTCTTTCCTCTATTCAATTTACTCCTACAAATTTTTTATAAGTAAATTATATCACTTTTTTTACATAGCGTGTGGGGGATGGTTTTAAAAAAACTCAATTTTTTTTTGATAATTAGCATTTGTTTGAAAATTTCATGTATTGTTTCAATTCAAACTGCTCCATGAAAATCAAAATGCAGTTGGAATATTCAGGGTTTTGACCTGATACGAGCATTCTTGTTCGCTTTGCTAGAGATTTTGCGATTTTTTGACATTGTTGAACACTCAATTCTTATCGGCTGAAAATAACTGAAAACAAGTTTCCATTTTTTGCACCCTCCCCTCCATCATGAGGGATGTCATCGAAGCCAATCAAGTTTTTAGTGAATTTTACATTTTTGGCGTTCGGTAGCGCAGTTTGCATTCATTTAACAAATTCCCCTCACGCTATATAACTGACCATTTCTTCCTTCTTTTACATATTTAAAAGCGCAAATGATCTGTTTCAAAAGACTTTTGCATGTAAACGAACGTTTTTCAGACAGATTTGATGTCTCAAGTTCACCTGAAAAATCGATTTTTATTTCAAAATTAGTAGCAAAAGATTCGGAAGGAAAAATGAAATTAAAAAAGCAAACTTCTATGCAAAAATCTATCAAAACTGGAATATTGCTCTTGCTAATTATTTCTGTCTGCCCGAAATTTTTGCAACTTTATGCAGGCGGAGATCTAGGAATTTCTCGAGGAGGGGGGGGGGGGGCGGATTTTCAAAAAAAAAATCTGAAAATTTTGTCGACCTTTTTTTTAGGCTGACCAAATTGATTTTCTGAGCTCTCTCAAAACACTCTAAAGACCGTAACTTGACCAAATTTCTGCGCCGCAGGCCAATTTTTGAAAAAAGGCCAAAAAAAAAGGCGTTTTTAGGTGCTTTTTAAAAAATGTTGAATAAAAAATGGCGTTTTTTCGGCGCGCGCTCCCCCCTCAAAATTAGTATTTATTGGCGCCAAAGGCGCCTTTAGAAAAGTTTTAAGGTTGGTCAGCCGAAAATGGATATCTCAAAATAGTTCAAAGGGGGGACCCTTTGAGTCGCCAGGGGGTCGAATCCCTGAGGGGAGAGCGTACGCCCCCCGCCCCCCGCCCCCCATCCCCCTAATTCCGCTACTGACTTTATGGATCATCCGTCTCACCTATGGTGGTGATGGTTGTGATGCAAAAGTGGAATGCACCTGTGAATCCCCAGTGGGGGTGGATCTCGTCACTGGCCGGGTCAGCCTCGAACTCATGCACCTCCAGCTCCAACAAAATCTCATTCATCTACAACACACGACATTTTTTTGGCCAAAACCATCAAAAAGTGACCAAAAATTGCATTTTTTGGCCTGATTTCTAAAAAGTTTACCTGCGGCGTCAACTTTTTTGCAAAGGAGGCCTTTTATAGTGTTTTCAAAGAGCTCAAATTTATTTAAATTAAAAAAGTTAAATACCCTCTCCAATTTTTTCTCTCAAGAGAGTTGAGTTTTTTGCAATTTCAATCCAAAGAAGTGTGGAGTTGAAAGAATTTGAACTTTTTTCGGAGAGGATGTTAACTTGATCCCAATTATCATTATAGTTAGCATTAAATGTTCTTTCATAATTGGTTAACGTCCTCCCCTGTGAATAGGTCAAGTTAAAATTCCCCGCCTACCCAACTACTTATTTGGATTGAAATTGCAAAAAACTCAATTTTCATTAACTTAAAATTCCAACTTAGTACTAAGTTAACATAAGGGGGATCCTATAGGGGGAGGACTTTAACTTGGTCCCGTAATCAACTTCTGGTGTTGATGCTCGTTAATGAATTTAAATGAGTTTAACCCATTTGACCGCAAAAAGATATCCTTAAGATTACCAATGACTGAACAAAAGTACTAAAAAATTTATAGATCTTATAAGTATTTTTCTCTGTAAGCTTCGAATTAATTAAGCGGTATTAAAAACATTTAAATTCAAGGTAACTGACCGATAAACTTTTTGTAACCAGTAATTTTTTTGTGATGGATTATCTCTTGGCTAATAATCTGCCTTTCGCAGCGCTACCAAGACTAAAAACATAGCCAAGCAAATTGCATTTAGTTTTCGTCACGGTCACAACTTTCGTTTTTGCTAAAGAAAACTGAATAGCTCGTATGTTTTCAGGGGCGGATCTAGGATACGAAAGGACTAACATACCGGGGCGGATTCCCCCTTCGAAATCCGCCCCTGTATGTTTTTTATGGTTCTTTTCCCTTTGTTTGTTATGGTTAACTAACAATTGCGAAAGCCTCTGATTCGAGGATGGTGAAGTTGACTTTTGATTGACAGGATTCGACATCGTCAGGTCCGCACAGCTGATGTACAGTACCATTGACAATGGAGTCTGTCAGGTTGATGATGCGAGACTCCATCGTGCGTTTGATGAGCAGAAGACGATCCTCTTCTGCTGGTTTTTCGATCATTGTGAAGGTGATGGTCCCCAAGAACAGGTAAAGAGTCATAATGAAGAGGGTGCGGAGGAGAATGATAGCTGCTCGTCTGTTCCAATCGCTGGCTAAAACGTTATTGTTTCACATTTTTTTTGTCAAAATTTGACATGTTTAACTTCTGTAGATTACATTGTTCAATTGATACTCTGCTCAGTTTGGCTGAAAATGCTTCACCGTAATAAATCAATCAAATTTGATGCGACTGAACCGTGTCTGTACAAAACAGTCCCATACAAAACAGTACAATACAAAACAGTCCGCAAAAGTATGAAAATGAACGAAAAAAAAACAGTCCGATACAAAACAGTCCGAAAAACAGTCCCAATTAATAATTGTTTTAACAAGCCGGCAGGCCGAGAATTGACATTGTTCAACAAGCATAATGAACAAAATAGTGACTGCCGCAGTCGCGCCAACGTGTTGCGAGCTTGCCAACAGAGGGTAGGGTTTAATACAAAATTTAGAGCCGGTTATCGCCGCGAAGCGCCGACGCATGCGTAGCGCGCCCACTGGCGACCTTAAAGCGAACTGTTTTGTATTGGACTGTTTTTTTCCTCCATTACATGATTTTTGGGACTAATTTGTATTGGACTGTTTCGTATATGCACCGACTGAACTGGCACCTGAACTTGCGTTAAAGAAAATAAAATATACATCCGAATACATTATATGCTTGATCTTCAGGGTGAAAAAATTTTCCAGTAAAACACAACCGCTAAGGTTGCGCAATTGCAATACCAAATTCAACAAAATTACTCGTATCAGGGCGAAGCCCTGAATGTTCCGACTGCCTTTAAAGGTCTATGAAGGAGTAATAACATCAAAAAGATATATATTGAAAAAAAAAAGAAATTAAAACGAAAAAAACTTTTGAAAAAAAATTTGAGATTTTTTGTGAAAATCATCCCCCCACACGCCATATAAAGTACAAAGTGATAAATTTCCCTTCTACTAACAAATCGATTGTATTGTGGCAAATAAGCTTCCTTCAACCAATTTGGAACGATTTCTAAGACGGATTAAATCTCCGCTTACGCGTTAATAGCGCGAAATATATCGCGCGTTAATTGTCCCAAATTGGCCAAAATGTTAATCTTTAAACCCCCATAACTTTACAAAAAATGATCACAGGTGAAGTATCTTTTTAAATTTAAGCTCAGGACAACAATATTTTTTAATGATATAAAAATATTCCGTCAAAAATGGCTAGTTAAAAAGTCTAAATTTTTCTGAAGAAAAAAACCCACCCCGAGCACAAATATTTCGTTACTTTCGTATCGAAAGTCGGAATATTAAAAAATATGAACTTCTAGTTTATGACACAGCTACTGAGTCAATTTAAATAAACTTTTATCAACAACAAAAAAATTGACTTAGAAAAATTGTTTCAAGCTTTCAAAATTTGATAGCATCAGAAATCCGGTAAAGAAAAATTTGTTTTGGACTGTTGTGAATTGCAGCATCCGCAAAATGCAAGGAAATATCTAGACCCATACCGAAAAGTTTAATACAAATAACCATTAACCAAATTGAATTACACTAGTGTTTTCAATGTCCATTTTGGACAACATTTCTTTCGAAATTCAGTAAAAGTTTTACATAGACCAAGAGCAAATGATCAGAGCCATCCTCTATGAAGTTATCAAAACTTGGTTTCAAAGACTTACTAAAGTGATCTGGGTCTGAAAAAGCCAGACCTCCTCATCTGCACAATGTTTGCATCGTAGTGATTTCTTTCTTGAACAAGCGGAGAAAAAATAAATTGTTCATGCGACGTGAAACACTCTAGACGAAAAAATGGGAACAATCTGAGTGAACACTTTACTTAACTCGGACATTTCTTACTTTTTCACGTGAAGTGAAAACTTAGTGCAGAAGAGGAAAACTGGCTTTTTCAGACCCGAATTACCTTGGTAAGTTATTGAAACCAGATCTTTTGCTCTTGGTCTATATGAAAATTTTAATGAATTTTGAAGGAAATATTGCCCAGAATGGACATTGAAAACAGGCGCTTTTCAGAGTAAAATATTGAATTGCGCCTAATTTTTTCTAGTAGTTTACTAGTTTATTTTACTAGTAGCATGTGATTATGATGGAGTTCAAAGTATTTCTCTCTTATTATTTCTTAAGTTTTTTTTTTGTAGTTATGACTCCAATGGAAAAAACAGCATCTTACATAACAGTTATTAAAAATTTCGCTCCTTTCCAGCTTCCGTTTCCAACCCCTCATAAAATTACAATATAAAGTTATCTAAGCGTTCTTCATGCTGCCATTTACATGTAAGAAATGTTGAAAAATTCATTCACTTGTTCACGCTGAAATGTTTTATTACAGTTTTATTCATAAAATATATTTGAAGTAGTCTTTTGTAAAAAAAAAACTTCAGAACAAATCAAGGAGGACTGGAAAAGAGCCGAAAACTTACACGTGGTCTGTGTTAGGAGTCTAGGTTTAGTCTCGTGCCCACACTCACACACAGTGACTGGACTAGTCGTCAAACAGGGACTTGGCCTCCTCCCCCTCATCTTCTCCCCTCTTAATCCCCCGTGGTCTTTCATTGCCCCCATCTCGTGACTCACGCTATTGTCACGCATCTGACAGTTCGTGTATTCTTCTGCTGTCGCATGCGAATGGTGAGTCATCAAAGTAGGCGACGAGGATTTGGTAACTAAGTGACCGTTAGATGCGGTGACAATGGACTCCGAACGTCCGCTCGCTATACTGCTGTTTGAGAATACAGCCATCCTACACGCACAAATAACAGTATAAGAGTGAAAATCCAATAATTTCAAAATGGATTTTAATTTGAGGAATGTATTTGAACTAACTGCAATCAATAAATGTGGTCTATAAGCGAAATTCAAGTGATGTGTACAATACAGGTATTGTCCAACGCGTTAGTGCCTCAAAAATGTGTTCCGGTTCATAAATAATGGCGCAAACCTGTTAAGCCTTTATGGCCCAAATGAAGAAAAAAAGTAAATTAAGCAATAAACATGCATAATTTTGGAAAATGAATACAAAAAACAGGTGGTGTAAATCGAGCGTGAAAAACTACAATTCCGTGATCAATTTCAATGACAGTTTACTGTGCTTTTCAGGTTTTTGTGAAAGTTTTCGTTTGAATAAACGGTCGAACGTTTTGTTGACATGGAACTTGGCTGAGTTACCACTGCTGAATTTGAAACCATTTTGTTTAAGTTTCTGTTGAAAACTTCTGACGAGAGAAAGGATCTTAAAAATTCTTACAAGTTAAGTAAATGTTTATGAAATCAAAACTGTCAGCTTCTCAACCAGTTCAGAATAACGCATATTCTTAAAATTTTGTTTCCTTGTTGTTTTGAAAGGAAGTTTAGTCTAAAACATGGAAGCGAATTCTATAGTTTTAGCAATAATTTTATTCCATCGCTAGTTGGTTGAAATCTTGGTGAAAAAGGTATAATTATTACTTTCCCGTTTCCTCAGCAAGGTATTAACAAATGTTTTTTTTTCTGCAAAAAAAACACATACGGCGATGTATATTAAAAGTTTACGAGCAGAAAGTATATCAGACTTTTTGCTGCTTACCAAGTGTACTTACCAATGAATACAGTAAATGTTCAAGTTATATATAGTTATAACTTATTAAATCATGTTCACCTCTATAACTGTGTCCGTGGCTAGAAACATTCAAGCATGTTGAGAAATTGATGCTTCAAGCAAATGCAGAAAATAATTGAAGATAAAGAGAGATTATAAGGTGTTTTATTTGAAAGTTCAGTAGCAAAGAAAAAGTGTACATTGAGTTTGGGATCAAGTTTAAGATCTCCCCCCCCCCCCCCCCCCCTGCCCCCCAACATTTAATTTGGAATATTTTGGCTCAGCGCTGCGTAAAAAATGCCCTACTCTGATTGGCTGAAAAATCCAGCTTTGAACTAAATTACCATCCTGCCCCCTAAATTGCTTTAGAAGGGATGTTGTTAACTTGGTCCTGAATTTGAAACCGCCGATTGGCCGATTGAGTTTCCCAAATGAACCCTAAGGTATACATGAATGCGTAAAAATGCATAAACATACTGATTATAACTTTGTAAGTAGAGAGAAAAACAGCGATCGAAAATTTGAAGCAGCAGTCTCAAAAAACAATCAAAAGAGCTTGGAAAAATAGGAGACAACCGAATTACTCCCAACTTTTAGAAATATTTTTTTGTTTGACTTACTCTTTTTTTTTTAAAAAAAAGTCAAGTTTCCGAGGTCTTACTTGAGTTTCTATAGTTTTTTGTAGTTGGCTATGGCATTGGAATGAAACAAGACTGTTCGTATCAAGGCAAAGCCCTGGATGTTGCGGAATAATTGCCACGCATAATTTATTCGAAAATTGAAACAAAATATTAAAGTCGTATTCCAGCAGCCAAGCAGCACTTTAGTCTGGTGCAAGTAGATTCTAAAAATGGTCTGAGTGAAAAAAAACCACCCCTAGCATACATATTCCTCACTTTCTCTAAAGTTCGGAACAAAAACGGACCAAGTGATCAGTTTCATATCTAGACAACTGCTTTGTCGGATGCCAAAAAACTAAAAATTTACTAAGATAGTTAACCACAAAACAAAGTAAAATTCGCCTTGAATTCGGACAATTTTTATTCAGGCAAATAAAATATTTTAAATTGTTCCCAAAACTAAGCTTACAAAAAATTCAAAAAATCAAAAATATTTTCTTTGTGTAATAGCTTTGCTTGTATGAAATTAGTTAGCAATAAAAGAGCGACTTTTTTGGTTTCTCGTTTAGAAGTATGGCCCCGTTCAAAACCTCGCTTGGAATTATGGTCCAGTAAAACTAGCAATGGTCCCCTGCAAAAGTCAGACAAAAATTTTTAAAATTTGTCATCAAGTTTTTCTGGTGATTTTTTTGTAAGTCTATTTCAGAGAAAACTTAATTACAAACCTAACGATGAAAATTTTACGGAGGGATCATTTTTCTTAACAAATACCCTACTTTAGTACGCAATATCAAGTTTTCTGAGGAAGTGTTTAAGCCGTGTGCTTGTCGCTCAAAGTTTTGTCAAAAATCATATCTTAATAGAGTTTCGGGATAGCTCAAATTCATTCGATCCCAAAAAAAGATCGATCAATTTTTTAAATTGTTTGAAAACAACCCCCCTTCGTCATTGTCATTTTGTTTTTGTATTTTGAAGGTCTGTAATTTATTTGATGGTGGGAACTATAAAAGGAGAAAACTTTTTCATAATATATGATACAAAAATCTCTTTTTTTTCAACGATCCATTTTCGGTTTTGAGTGCATCGGAAATTTTTGGCTACAAAGAAGCAAACACGATTTTGCCTATCAAAAGAAAATTCTAATCTTCGAAGCAAATTCTTTCGTTTACTCGGAAATGAATTTTGCAGGCTATATAGGTAATCAGTTCCGTTGTGGCTCCCAATTTACCCCTAAATCAATTTAGAGAGGGACACTTCATTTAACTGAAAGTATTCTTTTTCAGCCAATCAACCTTCAGCAATTTCTTGGATGGCTTAATGCATAAAATTGACGTTTAAATCTTGGTGAAAACTGTTTTCAAAATTCCGAAATTGTTGAAGTATACAGCATGGTGATGTAAATTGATTTCAATCAGCATTTTCTCATTTTCAGATTAGACAAAAAATAAGTTTTCACCAGATATTTATGGTTACCAATTAGTTTATGATATGCATTTGATGATAAAATTGGTCTTTTTGTTTTTTCCGCCCACATTTCTTAATATTGTAATTTTGTAAATTTCAATGTATAAATGCAGTGAACAAAACATTGATTGCACTGATGGGCAAGGTTCAAACAAATGCGATCATTTTTTCCATTAACTGATTTCTAAGAAGGCCAATACTTGAGCAGATTAGAAGGTGTCTTTTTTATTGGAGTTTTTTCTTTTTGTTGAGCTTGATTCAAAATCTGCAGCCTATTTGAAATTATTTTCAATAGTTTGCTAAGCCTTCTAATTTTTTGACTAATTCGTCTTATTTATAATTAGACTTAAAATTTTGAGAAAAAAAACATTTTGAGATGGTGCAGAAATTTGACTGATTGATTCTAGCCAATCAAATTGAAGCAAAATAAATTCAGCTCAAGATGTTGAAATTATGATTTTTGGGCGGAATAAGTAGTTACGCCCAAAAAGCGTTCCCGATTGAGTTCCTAGTACAAAAAATTGATTTTATCTTAAATAGCTTGGATTTAATCGCGAAAATTTGAATTTCAGACAACAATATTTGATCGCTCCACGAATTTGTTTCCTGTTGGTCCAAAAAAGCAAGCAATTTTGGACCAAATGAACAATCCTCTCCCAAACGGGATTAGATGGGATAAAAATCACTTAGCTTCTGGAGAAAACTGCTTCTTATTCAGTCAAATCAAATTTCGCAAAGTAAAAGAAATACCATTTGTTTTTTTTTATTTGAGGGGAGGGGGGGTGTTTCGATGAGCTTGAAACGTTCAGATGTATTCAGATGTAATAATTAACCGATGCAAAAAAAATCTACACTGAGAGAAAAAACTCCACTTAAAAAAGTAAAATATGTTCTATGTTAGGCCAAAAAAGGGGGAGAAACAGTTTGACATTAAACTGCAAAAACTTCATTTTTCTATGGATAGCTTAATTAAGGACTTAAGTTAAATCCCGATTACATTAGTTAAGTCCTAATCCTTAAATTATTTTTAAATTTTTATTTTTTATATAATCACTTTTTGGTCTTTAGGGTAAATCAATTTGATTCATAAGAAAAGTTTTTTCTTCAAATTAGAGGTATTATTAGTAGTAAATCGAAAACAGTAAACAAGACTGCTCGTATCAGGGCGATGCCCTGAATGTTCTGTCTGCCTTTAAGGTTTATGGAGCAGTAATAAGATAAATATCTAAAATTTGAGATTTTTTCTTTGAAAATTATTCCTCCACACGCCATATAAACTATAAAAGAATAGATTTCGCTCCTTGTAACAAATCAATTATTGGAAATAAGCGTCTTTGAACCAATTTGGAACGATTTCTTAGACGGATTAAATCTAGGCTTAAGCGTTAATAGCGCGAAGTATATCGCGCGTTAATTTTCCCAAATTGGCCAAAATGGCAATCTTTAAACCCCCCATAACTTTACGAAAAAAGATCACAGGTAAAAAATCTTTTCAAATTTAAGTTCAGGACAACAATAAATTTTGAATGATATAAAAAATTCCGTCAAAAATGGCTAGTTAAAAAGTCGAAACTTGTCTGAAGAAAAAAAAACCCACCCGAGCACAAATATTCCGTTACTTTCGAATCGAAAGTCAGAACAAAAAACTATAAGGATAAATTTAACAATTACTCCCCTTTCAAGAAAGGGGGCAATTGTTTAGCAGGTTAAGTTAGTCCAATTTTCGACCAAACAGAATGCAAATAAGTTCGATTTTTACACAGACAACTCTAGTGGTAATTTACTGCTTTTATTTATAGAGGTGGCAATTCTTTAATAGATACCATAGGGAGGGCAATTATTAAGTAGATCCAACTATTAGCTGAAAACAAAGATTCTAGTTCTTGCGTACAATATAACTCTATGGTGCGTGTTAGGGTACGATTGGGAGCAAATGCCTGTAATCGTTTTTGAACATTCCCCCAGTTTACGACTGGAATGAAAGGACTGAATTTTAGGGTAGGAACAATTTTCTATGGTACATCAGACACTGCCTAAAACTGTACGGTCAATTACCTAACTGTGGATAAAAAATGGCCATGA